GCTAAGGCTGGACTACAGGCCTGCTTCTGTGTATGTGGACCCTTCTGCTTTTGCCACGTGGCGGTCTGGGGTGAGCTGCAAAGGGCCTTTTAAGCAGAGGATTGGGTTTCCTCGGGGCCCCCAGAAGAAGATTGTACAAGGCTCCTGAAATAAACTGCAGGAAGAAGAGTTCCCGAGTTGCGTCTTTCTTGCTGGTCGAGATAGGCGCAGCACTAAGGGCTTTTGAACTGGATACACACATGTGATGTCCTACATCTACTTTACCCTGTGTCGGCAATCTCTGCAGCTAGAAGTCCAGATTTAGCCAACGGTCTCTCTAAAAGAGTCGGAAGAAAGGTTGAGAGCAGCTTTTCCATATTATATAGAAGGCATTCTAATGGTGGCGAGTACAACTTCCCCAGTGTTTCCAACTGGCCGCATGTGCTGTTAAGTCCTGCCTGCCTTCTTTCAGGTGGAAGGAGGACATGTGGCCCCATGATCCGACATTCCTCAGGGCCACTATGCTTCCTCCAGGAATGTGGAGACCTCTGTTTATCCAGGTCTAATGGTTAGTCAACCGGGCGGGTCCCTCCCAGCGATGGCCCAGTGTTATGCTCAGATCCTTCACCTAAGGCTGCAGAGGCCCCGAAGGGCCAACCTTGGCCTTCGGGTGGCCACCATTCTTGCCGCCATGCCATGCCCGCCGACTCCGGGGGAGACCTCCAAGGCCTGGCTGGGGCTTCTACATGGTCCAGCACTGGAGAGCAGTGGTCCGGGGGGTCAAGGACGCTGCCATGGTGGCTCTTCATTGGCAGAGGAAGAGTCACGGTCAGGTCGCAGATCGGCCAGGCGGGCACTACCTTGAGGGCTCAGGCTCTTGGGGTCCCAGGAAATAGCTGCTCCTCCCCACCCCGCCTTCCCCCGCTCACCTGCTGCAAGCCAGAGGTGGTGGCAGACCCAGAGGAAGAAGGCCACAGTCCCTAGCTAGCCAAGCTCTCTGCCTGAACTTCTATGTATTAATTTCTAGATGACTAGATGATTCCACTAACACTTCTGTTTCCCCAGCTTATGTACAATGCAGTGCAGTAAAGAAACTGCACACACATATAAATAGCTACATTCTGGTCTGGAACCTCTCCCCATCTCTCTTAACCCAGTTTATGTAACTTATGTTTTTTTTTTTTATTTTTTGGGGGGATGTTAACAATTTCAAATCCTAAATGGTTTTGAGTTATTTTCCTATGAATTTTAACACAACTTTAAAACATGTCTTTTCACTAACTCTACTTTGTCACACACTGGCAGCCTCTTCACCATCTAGGAAAACTAAGTGCTGCATATTTGGACTTGTTGGTCTTATTATACATCACACATTGCAAAAATAAGATCCACAGATAAAAGGGACAATGGCTAATCTTCATTACCAAAACTTGCATTAGTATTAGGCCCTTCATAACTCTTTCTTTCTTTCCCCCTCCCAAACCAGCACACGTCTATATTGCTCAGAAGTGATTTTAGCATTCCATTTCCAAAACACAGCATTTCACCACAAGTTTAAACAGAATAATCCACAGTGAAATCTACAACATGTATTATTTACTACGTCTACCTTTAACACACTTTGCGCACATCTAAACACCTAGAAGGACTAGATGTTTCAGATGAGGACATAAATGTGTCCCCTATATACAGAGTAGTGTTAAAACCACACACATGTAACAATGAGTAGATCTCAAAGTGTCTTCTGTTGAGAGCTTTCTGGTCTCCCACCTCCTTTCTCTCTAGCCCCTCCCCTGTATCATGTGACACAGGCACCTGACATTTGGATGATACTTTCACAACTCCTTTCAGAAGACAACCTTGCTATGACTTTTAATACAGACTATATAGAATCGGCTAGTTTACTGACTCTACTTTTGCCATACACTGGCAACCTCTTTAATACCTAGAAACTAAAATTAGGACTCCTT